TATTAGTAAATTTAGCCCCTGAGTCATTACTTTTGGTCACCACTGTAAGTAACTGTAAAAGTATTAACAATTTAATTCGTATTTTGATTTATGATTATATTTTTAATGATATAAACATATAAATCTGCTAACAATGATTAAAAGTGAATACAAATATATTATAATATGAAATGAATTTAATTTAAATTATTTGACTTGTATGTATAGAGAAATTTCATTTTATTGTAAATATGGTTCATTCAATGATTATAATTATTAAAGAGGTAATATTTCAAGAGAATAATACTCCAATTCACAAAAACAAATCTGTAAGGAAGTTAAAGAACCTTAGCTCAATTGATAATAGGTGAAGGGAGGTTAAATTATAAGAGCTGAAACCACAACAGAAGCTAAATTGAAAAAACTGTATTTAATGCGTGGAATACTATTAAATCGCTTTATACACTTATATTATTAATAAGCTATAGAAAAACATAGATGCAATTCACTATTAGCACAATTTTATAGAAATAAAGTAGAAATTTTCTTGAATTTATAATTATTGTAACGATCGTACTAATAATTTCCACCCGTCTCTTTTGTAGAAAGAAACATAAATATAAAGTAACTTACTATTGGCACGGAATATAGTTAGAAAGAACAATATAAGAGAATCTTGAAATACTGAAATGGCTTCAAAAGGACAATAGACATTGAATGGTTCAATAAAACCAATATCTTTGTATTATTACGTATTATAGTACTGAATGAAATATATAAATGTACTTTGAATGTTCTGTAATTTGGTTTAACTTTATTCGGTGATTTTTGACTCGGAGTTTTTGAAAATGACAATATATATATGTACTTATACGTATATTCTTTACTATGTACGACATACATGTATTATAAAATATTTATTTATTGCCATTTTTTTTACATTTATCGTTATGCTAAAACAAAGCTACATAAAAATGTATCATTGAATTTTTAGCACATACTTTCATTGTATTTCAAAATGGCTTTTTGAGTGAATGGACAAAATGAAAAGAACATAATCATTCCCATAAGTTTAATATTACATGTATGGTAGAGACGGATTAATCAAAATTTTCTGACGCACAAGAGGAAAACAGGCAGTTCACCAAATCATCACCTTATTTTTAAAAAGAATTTGGCGATAGATATATAGAAGAGATAGTTGATCTTTTATTTCAATTTTCTAGCAAAGAATTCTTCATTGGTCAGATGATTTCAAATGAAAAGAGAAAAAAATTAAATTATTAGAGTTTTTTTCTCCAAGAATATTTAAACAAATTATTGGCCTCCATAATAAAGCTCATGGAAATCGCTATTAAGGACATTGTATGATTCCTAGAAAAATCAATACGGATTATATCTGTAACCGAGGTGAATGCGCACCTACTCTGACAATTGTCAATACAAGGAAACGGTACGATTATAATTAATGCTAGTATCTTTTCTTGGGGAGATCCACAAAAAGGAATTCGGTTGTGTCGCGGAGAAACTCAGCTGTGCATAGTTTCAAATCTGGAGTTCAAAATATACATACATGTATTATAAGTCACCCTTTGTCCTACAGCCCTCACCCATGTCGTACATCTGGGTACAGGACTCGGAAAATTGTTTTGTATCAGGTGCATATTACTAAATTAAAAACAGTTTTCCTAAATAATATAAACTAATTTCTTACAAAATAATTAATGATGTTTGCTACTAATACTACAATAGGATGTCGCAAGACGATTTCTTTGAAACCTGTTCATCGTCATCGTCTTCCAGTTCATCATCTTCAAGCTCATCGTTGTTTTCGAATTTCTCCTCAATTCGATTTACTCTATGAATACGCAATCGCACGTAATCAATCCACTAGTTGTAAGAAATAATAGCTCAATCAATGATATTAACCAAAGAATAGTCAAAGAAACAATTCACATACCAGTCCTCTTTTAACAAATCCTTCATGATTATAAATTTTGCATACAACCGAGTGTGGGATCCGAACTGAATCAATTACTCGTTCTTCTGAAACCGTAATTTGATCTGGTAAGCAGTATTCTAACCAACCGCCATCTTCAGCAATGCGATCAAATATCTCCGAACTCGCTAAGAATCTCTTCTTCATTTCGATTGGTTTTTCATTTATTAATTCTGATTCTTCATCAAACTAAGAAAATTATTGATAAATTGCTGAACAAGGTTAATCGTAGTATTTCTTTCTTTTACTTACTACTTCAAAAACATCAGTCTCAAATGTTAAATTATGGAGACCAGCATATCGATTCGGATCAACTTTAAAGCGCCAAATAACATCATAAGTTCCTGGTTCTACATTTGGTAAAGTACCCCGAACCTAATCAATAATAAATATATTTTAGATTTGAGACGCAAAAAATCATTTCAATAATTGCAATGTTTATTTAAAAAGGCTCACATCAAACCACCAAACATAATCCAAGAAAACAGCTTTTCCATATTCGCTTTTAGAAAAAATGGTTGTTAAAGTTGTTTAGCTATAAGATGGCTTTAGCGTAACGACTTGAGAACAGCTACCTTTCATCACAAGTCAACGTTTTCCAGTGATGAGTATTTCCAACACCATCCGCATTATCCAACCAAATAATTTCACGATCTTTCGCCAAAAAACTAATAGGCCGGGCTATTTATAACAATTGCCATAATATGAATTATGAATTAAACTTTTATAAGAACAAAAGAATTAAACCTTCTTACATAATTTCATATACAGGCTTCGCCAATTGACATTCGCTTCATCCGAAGGAGATTCTGATGCAACCGGTTCAACGCTAGTTTTGGCATTTATTCGTCTTTGTCGCTCTTTCTCTTCGTTGATGCTTTCTTCACTGAAGCGATTTATGCACATTAATTGCCATACGTATTTATCTTGAACATGCTGATGTAGATTTTTGTTCACCTAGAGCATTATTATTTTGCTCGTGAATATTTTCGATCGACTTAATATCTTTTCTCTATAGTCATTGTTCAAGTTACTACATGAACATAGGTAAAATATATTTTTATTGTTACTGAAACAGGGAATATATGTAACTTGAACGTGACTATAAAGAGAATCGGTGTGACTATAGAAAGTTTGACCGTAACACAACTTACCAAAGAAATGGAAAAAATGTCTCGTGCGTTTAAGAAGCTAAGAATCTTTTTAATAATTTCATTTGGTAATTTTTTGAAACAATCGTTCTCAATTTGTGTGTTGTTATCAGTATCGCTATTACCCGTTTCCATCATTTTCAATGACTGCACCTTGCAGTCAGATCATTTATAATTCCGATAGTCATTTATACTGTATCGGTATTTTTAATATGATTGTGTTACCCTGAACACTTATACTAACGTTTTTAATTAGCACATCTTTCATTGGCTCCTGCATAAATGAGATAATAGCAGTAAGCAAACAAAAATTTTTCATGTTTGTATACGATTAAATTTCTAACTGTATTATTAAATATTATAAATTTAAAAACGGGAGAACTGGCTTTAACGTTAAAAACATTTGGCTGAAGTTTGTGTTCTAACAAGAATGACCTTGAATAGAATTAACAATGTAAATCGATCTAAGTTTAGTGGGGTCTAGGACTTGTTGCATTCAAAGTTTGTTAGTCCCGTTTGTAAACTAGTATTTTATGCGTACAAAGTAGAATCTGTTTGGTTGAATACTAACCTTCATGTATATTACGTACGATAAAGGTACGTGTAATGTAAATGCAGTGTTTCACGTTATTGGGCTGGATCATATTAGATTTTTATAAAATTATTAATTGGTCAATTGAAAATAACTGCTGCGTAAATGATTAGGTTAATAAATTTAATTTAATCTATGCACTGTTAAAGCCAGCAATAAAGTAGCCCAAGTACGATAAAATCCTTTTTAAGGCAATCTGATTCGGTAGTTTAGAGAAAGGTCGTCACATGTATAGTAATTATGTATTGCATAAGAATCTTCAGTTAGAACACATGATATCGATACAAAAACAGGATCTATCGCTATTAACTGTACATGGAAAACCTATTGAGCTATATAAGGGAAGATCTGCGTAGCTCAAAAAGAAATCCAGAGTTTAGGGTTTTTACCGTAATTTGAACTTTACACATGTTCATTAGTACATACCGATACATGTCTAAAATTTATCCGATATTAATTTCGGATTAATTATTCATTATACTTATTTATTAAGAGATTCATTCACTCCACAATAACAATAAAGAATAGGATAAGAATATACAGTAGCAGCTTAATACAAAACAAAATGGAAGTGAAGTGAAGTTCGCATTATTCCGCTTCATAATGTGTGTTACATAACATACAATAAACCAAATTTTTATAATACATAAATGACAAAACGACAATATCAATGATAATATGTACAGCATAAATATATACGTATATACATTCAATACATGTATCAGAAAAATTGCATAAAAAATTCTGGAGGATAAGATGCAGGATTTTCAGAATAAGGATAGGGTAATATTTCATTGTTTAGCGCTGAATATAGGTATTCATTTGGTGTAAAACTTTCTAATGAGTAATAAACAGAATTGGATGGTGATTCGTCGTCGCTTACTACGGGTTGAGAAGTTGGCATGCAGTAATTGGTCGTCGAATTGAGTTCTTGTTCAAGTAATTTTTTAGCTTTGTTTGCTAATTGCTGACAGATATCTTTAACTTCACGGCTTTCGTTTTTCCATAGAATACCGGCATATCTTACTTTTACACGCATTCTCAAGTCATAATAACCGCGATTTTGAAGCTCCTTATCCAGCGCTTTTCGGTATATGAAGAATGCATTCATAGAACGTTTCGGTAGTTTTGTTCCTTTTCTCTTTGGTCTCAGGTCCTCTTCATCGAGGAGCGAGGGAATATTGAGCCTAATAGTT